AATCCAGGACTAAAACCTGAGCAAGCCAATACCAACCCACAGTTTGCTCCTCTTGCACTGCAGTACTCTCCAGGCCAGACCTCCACCTGGGACAAAGGTTCCTCCCTCTTCCTCCTCCCACTGGTGGCCAGCGCAGCATGCATAATGGGATAAAGCCGCCTGAAGCCCCCTCCCTCTCTTACCCCTCCACCGAAGTCTAAGAGCCAGGTGTCTGGACATTCTTTGCTCTAGTCACACCTTATAATAAGAACACATTTTATTAGAAGAGTTATACATACCATATAAATATATTTGTCCAAACTACAGATAGGGGGAGGGATATTGGGGAGAAAGCTCTACTGCTATGGGGAACCTGGAGGGAGGAAGGGCTGGGAAGTGGGGGGACCTGGGACCATTTGTTCCCCCATCCCTCACAGAAGGCACAATGCATTATTCTTTCCATGTGAGGACAGTGTGGGGGGAGGGGGGTTGGCATGGAGGGGCAGAAGGTAAGAGTACAGAAAACCTCAAAAATACAAAAAGAAACCTCCAAACTTAATATCTAATGGTACGGGGAAAGGCTGGGGTGGAGTGTGGAAGGCAATGGGGGGGGGGGGCGCGGGGACAGTAAGAGGAACCAATGAAGTTCAGAACTGAGACCTGAGGAGGTCATGATGTCCATGCTGCTGCCTCAATGCAGGCCTCAGAGGAAACCCAGGGGAACAAACATAGACCCCAAAAGAAGAGAGGGTAGGGTGCCCCAGGGATTGGCTTTGGGGCATCAGAGACTGTGAGTGTGTGTGTGTGTGTGTGTGTGTGTGTGTGTGTGTGTGTGTGGAGTGGTGGTGGTGCTTGCAGTAGCTGGTGAGTGACAGAAGCAACCAGGGCTAGGAGGGGGCAGGTCCTACTCCCCGTGGGGGAGGCCTCCTCCATTCTGGTTTCTCCCAAACCGCTTTCAGGGGGTAAATTAGCCATTCTTCCATGAAGGACCCCTGCCTGGACAAAAGGGCTGATGGGAGAGGATGAGGTTGGAGAGCTTGGAATAAAAACGGCACGCAGGAGTGGTTCTTAGGGAACAGAATATCATGGAGCCCACTGAGTTGGAAAAGAGGCATGAGACCTAAATGTGTGTCTGTGTGTGAGTGTGTCTATGTGTTTAAGTGTGTGTTTGTGCTTGTACTAGGGAGAGGTGAGATCACTCAAAGGTGAAGGGGTCCTGGGTGCTGAAGAAGAAGTGTCCATCCATGTGGTCCTCCAGGGCATCCTTATCACTCTCAGCTGGGAAGCGCTCCCTACAAATAGGGCACTCCTTCCATGGCGGGGTGGCAGGGCCCCCAGTGCTGGCCTCTGACAAGGGACCCCCTGCAAAGCCACTAAAGAGAGACAGAGGGAAAAGGAGAGGGTCAGTGTGCTCTGTTGCCTTATCGACTTGCGGACCTCAGGGAGAGGGACTCATGCACCTGGGTTCCAGATTCTCTTGTTCCTAATACAGCATCCTGGTAGTTCCCTCTCTCCGAGCCTCTTCCATAGCATCTTTCTCCCCACAGTGCTAGGGAGTTTTCTGGTTCCCTGTGCCCTCCTTCTCTAGTCCTTGCTGGTCCCCACAGTGCAGAGCCCATCCCCCAACCTCTTGCTCTCCTCCCTCCATCTCTATCTGCTGCCTAATGAAGCTGAAAATGAGCCTGACATCGTCCTTCATCTTCCTGCTCCAGCTAAGGATGACAGCATACCCCCACCCCACCCTGAGCCCATCTCACATCCAGGCAAAGCTGGGGACTAGGTGATAAAATCTCTCTTCCCTCTGCCTTCCCCTCTTGACCTGCAGAAGAAAAGGAAGGCAGAGGGGGCAGTCTGATACCTGAATTCCCAACCCCTGTGGCTTCACCACCCAAAGGGTCCCCCAGGGAAGTCAGGAAAGAGACAGCATATCAGGGGTGGTCAGATGGATGCTGGATCCGTCTCTTCTCTGTTCTTGTCCCTGTGGGCTTGGTCTCCTACTTCCCTTCCTCCCCCAATGGAGCCTAGGAACCTACCTGGTGGTTGGGGAAACGTTAGGGGCAGGTGAGAGAGGATGCAGGGCAATTTGGGCTCCACGAAAGATGGTGCTAGAAAACAGAAGCCAGTTACAGGCAGGGCCTCTGAGTGCATGTGTGCTGATAAGCTGAGGGGAAGGATTACACGAAGGCACCTGGGATTTAGCGTGGTAGATAATTTTCTGTGTCAATCACACCTATGTCTCCTGTTCTTGGCTGGGGGAAGGGCAGGGACTGTTCACCTGGACAGCCTTTCTGCTGGCATTCTCCTGCCTCTCTCCTGCCCCCCATTTTTACTCTCACCTGGCCATGTCATAGAAGGCATTGCCCAGTTCAGGAAGCAGCAGGTTGGCCTCTTCACCCCCATTCTGCACAGCTGCCATCAGGACTGACTTCTCATCTTCAGCCTCCTGGGCATCAAAGAAATAGGCTGGGTTTGGGGTAGTGTCCAAGGTGGGGGAGTAGCACAGTGGGACAGGTAAGGGAAGAACAGTCTGGGCCGTGACAGGGAACAGAGGGCTGCAGTAAGAGTGGGGCAGGAAAGGTGTTTTGGAGGCAGCTGGTGGATAAGAAGAAAATGAGTGTGGGGAGTAGTGAGGCTATTGAGTGGGACTGGGTTTTGTGGTGGTGTCCATTGGGTGGCCTTGGAGAGAGGCTGGGCCTGCCTCTTCTTCCCCAAAGAAAAATGAGAGCCCCGTATGCCTGTCTTCCTGCTCTGGAGGCTGGGCCACTTGAGTTTGGCCCAACCCCCTCCTCCCTGCCCCTGCTCACCGAGTCAGAGCTGCTGTCCTCAGCTGGCCCTGAGAGGTGGGGAGCGATGGGAGCTGGCTGGCTGATGACAACTAGGGGAGAGGCTTCTCGTGGCCCCGCAGGAGAGGAGCCTGGATCTCCACGCTCACACAGGCCATAGGGTGGGAGCCTCATGTCTTCTGGGGACTCATCCTCTGAGTCTGTCAGAGCTGCCGGGCAGCCTGTAGGAGAGGGAGTGGGCAGAGAAAGAAGGGTACATCGTTAGAGGGTTGCATCAGCTCTGAGTCCTTTGGATAAAAGATCCAGTTAAATCAGATAAGGGCGAGTCTGGGAAGAAAAAGGCAAAACACAGAAGGCAGCGGCAGCTCCCAGGGGTGGTCACATGGAACTCTCCCCAACAGGGCAAGGTGGAGCGGGGAAGAGGTGTCACAAAATTGGGGGTGTACAGACCCAGCCCTGCAACTGCCTCCTCATCCTCTGTAGCAGCATCCTCATTCCACTTCTCATCGGCCACCTTCTCAAGGCGGGCCTCCAGCTTTCTCATGTACTCTAGCAGCTCCTGGTGTTGGGGAGGAAAGAGGTGCAAGAGGCTGGAAAGATGCCAACCTTGCCGGGCTATAGAACCTTCTGCATCCAATATTAACTCTGAGCTCCCGAGGATTAGACACCTTCACCAAAGGTGGGGAAGCTTAAGGTAGATCCTCACAGCCCCCGCCCCCCACCCCGACCCCAAGGGCCCTCCTTCGCCCCCTACAATGTCTCTCCCCTAGCAATCATCTCATCCTGCCAAATCAGCTGGTAATGGTCCCATTTTTAGTCTCAGGGTCCTCTTAGAGGTACCGGTTCCTAAGCCAAGAGACACAGTTTCTAGTCCTCAAGCCCTCAGTTCTGGCCACCAGGCAGTTCTCACCTGCTTCTCCTCCTGCAACTGCTCCTTTTCCTTCTGGAGCACACGCAGGGCTGACCGCAGCTCTGTCAGCTCCCGCTTACCCTCTGACAACTGCACCTGAGGGAAAGGGCTACATGGAATAGGAGCCTAAAATGTACCTAAAAAACCCGGGCTCTGGGATTGGGACCCAACAACCTAGAATCATGTCTCTGTGCCTTCGTTTCTCCCTTGCCCCAACACACACAGGGGAAGCCCCAACACTTTTTCCATGAGCCCCTTCCCTTGGCCATGGGAAATTCAGTCTCTGCCACTTGAGTGTGGACCTTGATGACTTGGGCTGGGTGCAGGGACATAGCAGGGGCATGGAAGGGGCAAGCCATACTTCTCCCAAGTCATCACTACTAGGCCCAAATGTGTACCCTAAGAGCAGAAAGGGACACTGCATGTTTCAAACCAATGAGGGCTGGAGATGTGCAAGTGAGATGTTGCCCAATAAATAAGGGAGCCCCTTGCACTTAAGAGAGAGGGGGCACTGGCTTTAAGAGGTCACAGGACCAGGGTTCAGGGGTGGCTGGCGCCTCACCAGGCTAGCATCCTTTTCCTGGGCCAGTTCAGTCTTGAGCACTTGATTCTGGGTCCTCTCCTCCTGAACTGCCTTTTCCAGCCGAAGTATCTCTGCACTCAGCTTCAGGATCTTGTCCTTCTCTGCCTGGGAGATGGCCAGAAAGGAAAATGGGAAGATGAAGGAAAAGGGACACCACTGGCAATCGCACCATCCCTCACTGTGACCTTCCTCTACTTTTGGAGCCATTTCCCCTTCTTGCCTCCCCCACTCCCTCAAACCCGTGAATGAAGGAAGGGGCCTGAAAGCAAGGGACTTGCTTGATCAGTAATGGGCATTAGGGCAAGGGTCTGGTGCCTAGAACGGTCCATGTTTCTGAATCAAGATGGTAACCAAGGTGCTACAGAGATCAGGGTTGGGACACTATTTAGGGATGAGTCACACCTGGACAATGAAGTGTTCCTCCCTCACAGCTCCTCCCCACCTAAGTCTTCTGAGGTTCCCATTGCCCCCTTTTTTTTCTCTCCTCCTAGGAGATCTGACCACATGGAGGTGGGGGTGATGGCTGTGAGCTTGCCAGGTCCCTCCATCCCTCTACCTCCACACTCTGCAACATCCCTGCCCGCTCCTTGCTCCACTGGCTTTTTTCCTCCTTCAAATGCAGACTGAGCTCAGCCAGCCTGCCGTTGACTCCAGCCACTTCCAGGCGGCTGCGGTGTAGTTCGGCTATGGTGCGGTCCCTGGCTCCAGCTGCGCTGGCCAACTCCTCCCCAAGAAGGGTGGCTTTCTGCTGGCTTGAGGCTGCAAGCTCCTGGGCCCCTCGAAGCTGCTCCTTCAGGGGCTCCAGCTCAGCCTCAGAAGAAAGGAAGAGATGGAGATCAGGGCTCCCAGTACGTCACTGTGAACCAGGAAGATATTAACTAGGCTACCTCCTCCCCCCACTGCATTAGGACTCAGGATTGAGTTGTTTAGTGTTTAGTCATATCCTTCCCCAGACTTCTGTAGTGAGTCCTTGCAACTTTCTCTACTTCTTGTTGCCTAAAGGCTTCACTCACCACCCGCTGCTGGGCCTGGCTTAGGGTGTCCTTCATCTGAACCAACTTGTCTTTTAGTCGCTGGGTCTGCACACCCTGCTCCTCCTGCCGGCCCTTAGCCTCCTGCAGCTCCAAATTCAAGCGACGATTCTCCTGTTGTGCTATTTGGAGCTCAGCCTGATGGAGGTGAAGAGCAGGTAAGGAAAGGGGTGGCCAGGGAAGTGAACCATTGTGCTGACAGGTCAAGGTTCCACTTCTCAGACTTAACACAAACTCAAGCATTCAGCTTTCGTCACCCCTTCTTGGGTTCTCAGCTCAAAGTGACTCAATCCTGAACATCCAGTCTACCACTCCCAGGAAGTGCGGTATCCAGCGTCACAGTCTAGGGTCTTACATAACTAGGTAGCCCATGTCTCATTTCTGCTTCTCCACTTTTTCTTTTAAATAAAAACTCAGTCTAGATGTCCTCCAGTTCCTTCAAACTCAACATATTCTACCTCCCATTCTACTATAGGTCTTTCCTTTCTTATTTCTATCCATGGTTCAAACTAATTCCCAAGTCACATAAGCTGGACACCCTGGTGCCATGCTTGGATCTGTTCTCTCCCTAGCAGCCCATAGAAAAGCCTATTGATTCTCCATTCTTCATCTTGTTCACATCCATTTTCTCTTCTACTATTTCCACAACATGTTAGCTCAGGCTCTGGTCAGGTCTTGCTTGGAGTACTGAAAAACCTCACAACTAGCTCATTTTCCACAGGCAATCAGATTAATCTTTGGGTACATGTCACCTACTTGAAAATCATCGGTGCCTCTCACTGCTTACAGAATAAAGATTAAACTCAAGAGTGTCTACAATCTGACCAGGGCTTATCTCAAACTCTTCACTCACATATTCAACTGCCCTGAGTGTTCCGGACTCTAAGCCTTTGCTCATGTTTTCCTTTGTTTCTAGAATGGCCTCCCTTCATCTCTGCCTACTCAAATTCTACCTTTTCATCACTGCCAAGCAAATGGTTTTTAAACAACCTTCTACAGAAGCCTAGGATTCTTAGGAAGTCATTTAGAGGTTCTGAAAATATTTAATTTAAACTTCAAATATTTAAAAATATTAAAAATTATGTGAAAAATGCACACTCTCACAAGTTAACACATTGGAGATCACCAACCCACTGACATGTGCTTCCAGGTTAATTAAATTCTTTTTTAAAATATATTTTTATTGATTTCAGAGAGGAAGGGAGAGGGAGAGAGAGATAGAAACATCAATGAGAGAAAATCATTGATCAGCTGCCTCCTGCATACCCTCTACTGGGGATCGAGCCCACAACCTGGGCATGTGCCCTTGACCAGAATCGAACCTGGGACCGTTAAGTCTGCAGGTCAATGCTCTATCCACTGAGCCAAACAGGCGAGGGCCAGGTTAATTAATTTTTATATAAATCTCAGAATAAAGTTTCTATTGTAGTTTCTATTGAAGTGAAGAGAAAAATGAGATTGCAAGGTGGACAGTTTAAAAACTGTTATCAATTTGCACCTACTTGTGTGTGACGCAAGGTGTTCTCGATATTGTACAGCTGTAACAAAATACTCTAACTAGCCACTGAGGCTGACTGAACAGTCATCCATAACCTCCAGTTTCCAAGTTTGGTATTCATAAAAATTACCTAATTGCTTTTACTATCTTATATGTAAATATTATACATTTACATTTATAAAAATAAACTTACAGTAATGAAATATTGCTGTTACTTATTCAGTGGGCACTTAGGATGCAAAACTTCACTGATGGGGGAGAAAAGATCCTGCTGCTAACAAAGTTTAGAAATACTGAACTAGCTTGTGTCCCCCTTTTATGTCCTTTCTACTGTCCCTCACAGAATGTGCTCCCACTCATCTCTGTGGAGCACCATCGCACTTGATTACACTTCCCCGTTGATACTTCCTAGATTCCCCTTTGACTGATCCTGACTTACGTTCCCCAGGAGAGTGTACACAATGTTTCTTTACATTTCTATCGCCCTTGGTGCCCAGCACTCAGAAAGAGCTCAATAAACACTGGATGAACAATTGAGAAAGCAAACCAACCCTGAGCCCTTACCTCGCTTTGCTCCTTGTCTGCTTGTACTTCCTTTAGTTGCCCAAGGAGCTTCTCTTGTTCCCGAGTCAGGGCCTTCACGGTGTCTCTAACTCTGTGAGTGGGGGACAGAATGTCAGATAACCGACCGGTCACCAGAGAAGGAATGAAGGACTCGAACTTCTGTCTTGAGCTCTCCTACTGGTGCTCCTCTGGGCCCAGACCGCCGCTTCTCTGTGGGATGCTCAAATTCCCAAACCGAGTTCTAAGCCCTAAGTACCCAAGACTCCCGATTCTAGAGCACAATCTAGAAATAAACAGTTTTTCTTTTCTCTTTCATATCATTTTAAGGAATGTCCTGTCGATGGTTCCCTCATTGTTTTCACTCAGTCAAGAGACCAGAATCCAGTCATTTCTAGACAAGTGACAGTCATTATTAATTATAAACTTTTGGTCTAGGTGAGAAGTTGGCAGACTTCTTCTGTAAAAGGCCTAACAGTAAATATTTTTGGCTTTGTAGGCCATGTGGTTTCCATGGCAACCACTCAACTCTGTCACTGTAGTGAGGAATAAGCCATAGATAATAAGTAAATAAGTGAGCATGGCTGTTCCAATACAACTATATGGACACTGAGAATTTAAAAAATTTTAATTTACTAATTTGAGAGAGAGAGAGAGGGAGGGAGGGAAGGAGAGACAGAGGGGAGAGAGAGAGAGAGAGAGAGAGAGAGAGAGAGACATCAATTTGTTGTTCCACTTGTCCAAGTATCCAATGATTGATTCTTGGATATGCCCTGACAGGGGATCGAACCTGCAACCTTGGCATATCGGGATGACACTCTAATCAACTGAGCTACCCAGCTAGGGCATGAACACTGAAATTTTAATTTTACATATTTTTCACATGTCAAAAATATTTCAACCATTAAAAACTATCAAAACCATTTTTACCTTGTGGGTTGTACAAAAACAGGTGGCATGTGAGATTTGGCACATGGGCCATTGTTTGCTGACCCCTGGTCTAGACAGTAACTAATCTTTTCCAGATGCTCAGTCTGACCCCTGATTTTCTATTCCATGATTTAGAACCTAGACATTTAGTATCTCCCTAGGGCAAGACTAACATCCTGAACTGAAGAAGCCTCAGGGATAAACTCACTTTTTACTCTGGGCCTTGGATAGAATGCCTCTTTCCTTTAAAGAGTTTGAAAAAATATCAAATCTACCAGTACTGAATGAAAGAAACTTATGTCATTCGGCGGAAAAAGGAATTAGAGTATTTCTCTTGAAGAACAGGCAAGGGGAGGTGGTCAGTAGGTGTGTTATTTGCTAGAAATAATACCTGCCTGCCAGAAGAAAGAAATTTATTCTATGTGGCTCCAGAAGTTTAAGCAGGACCAAAGTGTGAACGTTACAGAATGGGTGAGCTTGAATCAACACAAGAGGTACAAAAATGACAGCTGTCCAGTAGTAAAGAGGCTGCCTCCTGAGGTAGTGATCTTCTCTTACATGTTGTCTTGAATACCTTACATTGCTCTCAGTGCTAAAAATCTATGATTTATTCCATTTTTCAGGGCAGAGATTCCATAACATTCATGGATCACCAGTTCTATCATTTCCTAACAGTGAGAACAAGTCTACTCTTATTCTTTGCTGTGGTACGAGCCTAAATCCATCCTCTCTTATCTTGTGTTGACTGTTCTATCCACTTCTCTTTTTTCAAATCCTCTACTCCTAGCTCCTGCTACATAATAAATGGTAACTACAATTAATTCTGAAGGTGAGGAATACAGAGTAAGTTTGGAAAGATGGAAGAGAGCGAGGCAGAAAAAGATATCCTCAGTTAACGAAATACCCTAAGAGAAGTTGAGAAAGGAAAGAAAAACCACCTGAGACAGAGCCCTCCCTGAAACAGGAAGCTGGAGTTCCAGGGTCACAGGAAATGTAATGGGGCACAGGAGGTCCCCTCACCTGTCCAGCTCCACCTCCTTTGTCAGCACTTTCTCACTGATGATCTGGATGTCATCTTCCAGCTCCAGGATGTGTGCCACATGATCTCCTTGTTGCCGGCTCAAGATGTCCCTCTCTTCTGTGAGTTCCCCGTGGGACCGGGAAAGCCCCTGGAATTAAGGTTCCCCCAGAAGAGAAAAGTTGAGACTCATTCCAAAGATTGGAGCAAAGGCTTCGAAGGAGCAAACCAGAGTTTGTTCCAACCCCCTTACCCAGTAACCTTCCTTGAAAAAAGACACAAGGAAAAATTCCCTCACCAGCGCACATACCTACCCCAACCCGACCTCAGCATTCCTGTGTTCAGAGAACTGAGTCTTTTACAAATCTGGGACATGGCTCCTGTCATATCAAATTTAATCCTACTTGTTACAACTTAAGCCTATTTCTTTCATGTCAGAACCATCTGTAAAAGCCCACTAATATCTCCCCTTTACCCTCTTCACTGGGTTAATATTTTGGATCTCGGTGAGCAGCCGGCCCTGTCCCGCCCCCCTCTCCAATCCCACCTTGTACTGCTCTTTCAGCTCCGCATGCTCCTGCCTGGCAGTCGCCAGGGCCGTCTCCAGCTCCTGTACGCGGCTCCTCAGCTCCGTGACCTGCCCCTCCAGCTGCAGCTTCAGCTGCATCAGGTCGTTCCTCTCTTGCTGGCTCTCATCCAGCTGGTTCTACAGGGGGCAGGAGGAGAAGAGGGTGTGCTGTGCAGCACCCATTCCAAGGTCCCATCCCATCCCTCTGCAGATTCATTTCAGGATTGGGAAGATACATCAGCACAGGATACAAAGAGGTGAGTTGTGTGCTAATGAAGTCTGTCCACCACCCACCAGCTCCCAGCACTCTTAACTGCCCACTCCTCTTAAAAAATGTTTTTATTGATTTTAGAGAGAGAGGAAGGTCATTGATGTGAGAGAGAAACATCAATCGGTTGCGTCCCATACGTGCCCCAACCCGGATCAAATTCCCAACCTAGGTATGTGCCTTGACTGGGAATAGAACTGGCAACCTTTCGGTGCACAGGATGATGCTCAGCCAACCGAGCCACACCAACTAGGACCCCACTCCTCTTTAACTTCTTTTTTTGTTTCTTTTCTCTTCTCTTTTACTTCTTCCCACTCGAGGGCTGGCCCACTCCTTGGCTCAGCAATTGCAGAAATCTGGTAGAAATCTTTCTCAATCCACATAGACAAGACAGATGGCGCCCCTAATTTTAACCTATTGCTTCTGGAGTCAGACACTGGGTTTAAATCTCCAACACAATGTTTATGAGCTATGTGACTCTGAACAAGTGACTTAACTTCTCTTAATGTCTGTGTCATCTGTAAAGTGATCCCTTAGCCTAGGTTGTTGCAAGATAATTGTAATGAGAATGATGAATATAAAAACAGAATACAGTGTAGGAGCTTACATATCTCTGACTAATGTAAGATATAAACATCTTCTTCCTATTCTTGTGTTGATTACATGTGTTTAGAGGGTTCTAGAGGGCTGGAGTTTACCTAAATCAAAGACAAGCTACTCATTCTCCTCTTCTGACCTGCCTCAGGCCCGTCCTCTTGCCTGGGGAGTGTACTTCCTCCCCATCTAGCACTGTCCTCACCTTTCTTCCGGAAGTCTTCCTTGCTAACATCTGTCTCTACTCCCTAATTCTTCTCTATTTGGTTCAATAGAAAAATAATACAAGCCACATATATAATTTAAAATTTTATAGTAGACACTTAAAAATAAAGTACTAATAAGAAAGATATTAATTTTAATAATATTTTTTCTAACTCAGTCTATCAAAACTATTATTTCAACATGTAATCAATATAAAAAATTATGGAGATCTGTACACTTTTTTTTAACACTAGGTCTTCAAAATCTAGTCAGTATTTTACCCACACAGTACATCTCGATTTGGGCCAGTTACATTCCAAGTGCTCAAGAGCCACATGAGGCTAGCACCTCCAGTATAGGACAGCCCAGGTCTGGGCCCTGTCTATCTGTTCCCACTCCTCACCTGTCCTGGAAGTGGGTTTCATCCTCCCCTCCTCTGGTTGCTCCTTCCCTGGAGTGGCCTCCCTCTACCCTTTGTATCCTCTAGGGCCTAGGGCAGGATGAAGCACTTGAAGAAGAAACTCAAAAAGTTCTTATGGAATCCAGTAACATTGGTCTGTGGGTGGCTTGCTTTCCTGCCCTACGTGTTCATGTCTGTCTATGTTAGATGGAGGCTTTCTTGGAGGCAAGACTTTGTATAACTCCCAGTGAGGTCTCCAGCTGAAGCTATAGCCGAGGGGAAGGTGCAGTGGGACGGGCCCCCTGGCAATGCTGTCCTCCCACTCCCCTGCCCAGGAGCAGCTGCTGCTCTGTTCTCACCTGTAGCACAGTTGCCTTGGGGACAACCAGCAGGATGTCAGAGCCGCCATCAGTCTCCTCAAGAGTCACCAGTTCATCCATGGGCCTTGGCTCTCGAAACTGGAAAGGGGGGCTCTGCCCACACACCCGGCCCTGGCGATTCACATATCGGAACTGGTAAAGCTGGGCTCCTGGTTTGGGCAGGTAGCTGGCTGTGGGAAAAAGAATGGACCCAGGACCGCAGTATGATCCCAGGCCCTGCAGTGCTCAGCAGGTCCCCTTGGTATATTTTATTATCCACTCTTTGGTTCTGGTCCCTTGCTTCCTGTTCCGTATTCTGTTTTCTCTCCTCTCCACCTCCCATACACTATTTCTGTTCCCTGGGATACTCTTCTCACTCTTTTCTGCCTAGTCCTTTCCTTCCTCTCCCAAATCCACCTTCAATAATAATAATAATAATAATAATAATAATAATAATAATATTTATTGAGTGCCCACCATGTACAAGGCACAGTGTTAAAATCCTTTTATTATCCCTATAAACCAGGCATCTCATTTTAATGTTAAGATAATAGACACATAGAGGTTAAGTAATTTTCCCAGTGTCAAACAGCTTATAAGTATTAGAGCTGAGATTTGAATCCAGGTCTTTTACAATCTAATGACCACCTTCTTCTCAATATACGGCACCACTTTCCCCTCTTCCCTACTCGCTAGTTCCTGCTTCTTTCGGTAGGAGGTGGAATTAGTTGCACTGTACAGGTCCTTCCACCTCTAAGTCCTTGATTCTATGATAACCCCATGTCTGCTGAGCCTGTTGGATATAATTTTATTTTTTGAGCTTATTTTTCCTTGTTCTCTGTGCCTAACTTTTGTGTTTCTGAGCCCACTTCCTTTTTCCAAACCTCTATCCCCCTTGGCTCTTCCCTCCCAGTCCTCTATCTTCCCTTGTACCTTGGAACTGGACACTGGCATGGACAGGGGAACCATCAGTTGCACTTTCAGGCACCGAAGACCACACAAATGTATGGTAATCTCGAACACAGGCAGCCTCCACCTGTGAAAGTCCAAGGTGAGAGAGGGCTATGGTGATGCGACTACCAGCTATAGATGGTAGAAAGGGCTGAGGGAATGAATGGGAGAATAGGATTGTGTTACAGTGGCAAGGATGATGAAAGACAGGGAAAGTGGGGGGACAATAATGTGTCAAAAGAGAGCAAAGCTAAGACGGGGAGATGAGCTTTGCTTATACAGAAAACTCTCTGTCATCTTGCCATCTTTTCCCTTCTTCTCTATCAACTTGAGGCTGAGAATCCAAGAGCCTAGTCATTCTCCCTATTCCAACCAACGCATGGCCCATGAACTTGAGCAAAAGGGGTTCCAGGTGTACCTTGAAGATGCCAATCCAGTCACTGGCACTTGGCACGGTGCCTGGGGGAAGGGTGTAGTGACATTCCACCTTAGTATTGGGGATGTAGGTCCGGGCCACATTCAGAAAGCTGACTCCTCCCCGAGATGGTACCCGGCTTATTGATGATTCTTCCATCCTTCCCTTGAGATACGTGCCCTCCTAGGAAACAAAGAGTTAATATCCTAAAGTCTCTCCACTTCATTTTTTCCCCTTTACCTCAATCCACCCCTACACACAGCTCTTGCCACTATACCTGGAGGTGAAGTCATATTTAGTATCCAGTCCCTGAGGGTTTTAGGACCCTTTTAGAGATATCACTCTTAGCCTGCAGGACCTAAGCTGGCCTTCCACGTTAATCCTAGTCTTGTCTCACACTCTCCCACTCTAAGTCATAAACTCTTCCTAGAGTTAATTTCTGCTTCCTTTTCACTGCCCCACTGATCAAGTTTCAGTATCCTAGGCTCTGCCCTCCTTAGTCCCTCCTCTTCCACCTTTTAACATCTTTGAGGATTCCAAATTCTTCAGTTTCCACGTCCGCATCCCATCCCCCACATCTTCTGGCTCCTGAATTAAAAATCCAATTGAGGTGTAGAGCCCCCTCGTTCTGAGCACATCTCCTTGTGTACACCTGAGCTTGCTGACTCAACTACACAGAATGACTATGACACCTGGAAACAGCAACAAATCTCTTAAAGTAACGACTGGACTGAATCTTCAGAGCTAACATACGGCTGAGGGTGGAGGGACAGCCCAATCCTCAGGCCCATGAGCTCTCATTCTCTCCCCTTCTCTGAGCTGTCTAATCCCAAGAATTAAAAACAAACAAATAATCAAACAAAACAGCTTCGACTCTCATCTAAGAGACAAAGGGAAAGGGAGGATATAAGGAAAGACAGGTTGTGTCCTCAACTTCATTATTTCAGGAAGTCAAGAATTCTGG